CTTCATTAGATGTCACACTGTACAAATCTCGCCCCTTGTTTTTTCAAACTGGAAATTATGGAGCTGTTTATTGAGAAGGGTTTTTTGATCCTGATCATGGCACAGTGGGAGGTTTCAGCTCCCTTGGGCTACTCAAATTCTTCTCAGATGACATAAAAATACTGGTTATCACCTGAACATTGCTGGAGCACTTAACTTCTGAATACTTACCTTTTTCTTCTCCACCCTGACATGCTGGCTGCATTATCAGTTCATCTGATCCATTGTATACAATAATAAATATCTTATAAATTCTCCAGTCTGGATTAAATCCCTATTTAACAGTTTTATATCCCAATTAGTCCACAGGATGGAGGGAAACGAAGGAATACAGGATCACTGTTTCTACCGATTAGTGATTCAGGAACAGGAGAGATTCATAAATTTCACAGACCACTGTGTTTCAGCCATCCATGTCACCCTGTTATTTTTAAATATTTTCTGATTACAAACTTCCAGCTATATCATGGTGCTCACCCGTGGGACACACGTGAGTGAGATGCAGATTATGAAGGAAAATTCCTTCTCATCTCCATCTATAGGAATTTGATCTCAGGAAGGAGAAATTATACATTTCTGCATATGCACTAAAGCATTGTTACTGCTTAGAGTCCTGCAAATCATGGGCCTTTGTAAGGGTGTTACTTGCCAAAATATGAAGACTGGGTTCGCCACATGCCTGGAAGGTGATGGCTGACACTGCTCTTCACTTCTCATTTCTTTCTTATTCAGAAGGAATGATCTCTGAAGTCCATCCCAAACAGATATTTGCCATCTATTGCTTAACACTTGTAGTATTTCTCCGTAAAAAACCACCTTGGACAGTGTTGTCATTTAACCCCATCCAGCTTCCAAACCCCTCACAGTTGCTTGTTTACGCTTCCCCCAGCAGGACTGGGGAGAGAATTGGAAGGGTAAAAGCTGGAAAACTTGTCAGTTGAGATTAAGACAGTTTAATACAGAAAGCAAAAACCATCACAAAAGCAAATCAAACAAATAATTCATTCACTGCTTCCCAAGGGCAGGCTCAGCACCTCCAGGATAGCACAGCCCCATCCCATGGAATGGTGACTTGGGAAGACAAATGCCACCACTGCAAACATCCACCTCTTTCTCCCCTTTCCCCCAACTTTCTATCCTGAGCATGATGCCATAAGGTCTGGAATATCCCTTGGGTCAGATGGGGTCACCTGTCTTGGCTGTGACCTCTCCCAGCTTCCCATGCACCCCCACTCCGTCTCCACTGTGGGCATACAAGGGCAGAAAAGGCCTCGGCTCTGCCAAGCTCAGCAAGGACAAACCCATGTCTGTGTTCTCAGCCCTGTGCTCAGCACAACCCCAAACACAGCTCCACCACCACCCATGCAAAGGGAGCTGAGGCACCCCAGCCAGAACCAGCACAGGCGCTCTGAGGTCTCCACACGACCTTGCCTTCTCTGGGCTGAGCAGCCCCAGCTCTCTCACCCTGTCTCCATAGAGAAGATGCTCCAGTCCTCTTACCAACTTCATGACATCCTCTTCACTTTCTCTGACAGTTCCAAGTCCTTGTCATGTTGGGGACACCAGGCCTGTGCTCAGGATTCCAGGTGGGGTCTCACAAGGGCAGAGTAGAGGGACAAAGTCACTCTCTGGATCTGCTGGCCACAGTCCTTTGGATGCAGCCCAGGACTCCGTTGGTTTCTGGGCTGGGAGTGCTCACTGCTGACTTCTGCATCTACCATCATCACAAAGCCTTTCTCCACAGGGCCACTCTTGATCATTTCTCCATGCAGCCTGTTGGTGTGCTTGGGATTGCCATGACTCTGGTGTAGGGCCTTGCACTTTGCTTTATTGAACTTCATGATGTTTTCATCAGCCCCACCTCTCGAGTCTGCCAAGGGCCCTCTGGATGGCCCATCCCTTCCCTCCAGTGTGTGCTGCATCACACAGCTCAGTGTCATCAGCAAACATGCTGCAGGTGTCAATCTCTCTGTCCACATCACCAACATAGATGCTGAACAGTATTGGCCCCAATATGGACCCCACTCATCACTACTCTTCACATGGACAATAAGCCATTGACCACAACATTTTGCATGCAGCCATCCAGACAGTTCTTTATCAGTCTAGTGCTCCATTCATCAAATCCATGTCTCTCCACTTTGGAGACGATGTTGTGAGGGACAGTGTCAAATGCTTTGCATAAGTTTAGACAGAAAACACCAGCTGCTCTGCCCCATCCACCAATGCTGTAGACTGGCCATAGAAGGTCACCAAATTTGTCAGGCATGATTTCCCCTTTGCAAAGCCATGTTGACTGTCACCAATCATTTCTTTGCTTTCCATTTCCTGGGAGCTGGGGCTGCACACGGTACTGGTGGTACTGGGAGCACATCCAGGTGTGGGTAAGGAGCTCTTAGGGGAGTTCAGATCCATGGTGTGGGGAATAGGAGGAGGCTGGGACCTCAAACGGAGTTCAGGGGAGCTTGAAGGTACTATGGAAAAGGCATAGGAGAAGGGTGGAAAAGAGGAAATGAGATGGTGTGAAGGGGGATCTCATGACACCCTCCCTCACCTCTACCAACAGTTCCCTGGGGCGCTCAAGGTGCAGCTGCAGTCAGATGGCAACAGGGGTGGGGGGATTAATGCTTGGGTTCATCATCCTTCCTCTACCTGCACAAGGTGAGCAGGAGGTGGGAGGGCAATGAGGGGCATTCCTGGAGAGTCTCCTGTGCATGAGGACTGCCCCAGCTCTGAGGTGACAATGGAGCTGGACTCCTAATTTTGATGGTGGGTTATTGAGATCGCTCCTCCTCCTGAGCCCACCTTCCACAATTGAGTAAGCCCGGGAATTGCTCCCACACAAAAGGTGCCAGGACAGAAAGCTGCTGCTGGTCTTTCCCTCCCCTGGCAGCTGTCATCTACACAGCAACGGGCCCAGGTGCTGTACTTCCCAAGGAAAGGCACTGACATTCACTTCAGGAGCCCACCAGCAGAACTTGGTGCCACCCATCTGTGCAAAAAGCAGAGCCTGCAGTAACCACAGATACCACTCGCCATGTCTCTGTCTCTCTTGCAACCCTGGTGCATCTCCCCATCCCTCTTTTGTTCCCAGGATCCCATTTTCTGGCATTTTCTCTACCTCCTTCTCTCCTACCTCCTGCTTTTCTCTTCTCTCTTTTCTTTCTGTCCTGCTGGACAAATTGGGCAGGCCAGGTGGGACCTGTGACTTGAGGGGTGACCTGACCAATAGTTCCCAAAGAGATAGAAAGGGCCTTCCAGGGTTCTTTCATCAGTGCCTGTATGGGGTTTGTGTGGCCAAGTTTTGGTGGCAGGGGGGCTACAGGGGTGGCTGTTGTGAGAAGCTGCCAGAGGCTTCCCTGTGTCCGGGAGAACCAACCCCAGCTCCAGGACGGACACACCACTGCCAAGGCTGGGTCAAACAGATATGGCAGCAACACCCCAGGGATAATGGATTCAGGAAGGAAAAAGTTCTTGTGCAGGTGGAATCAGGTGCAGAGCAGAGTGGGAGCATGTGAAAGGAACAGCTCTGCAGACTCCCAGGGCAGTGCAGAAGGAGGGGCAGGAGCTGCTCCAGGTGCCGGAGCTGCCTGCAGCCCCTGGAGGAGCCTGTGCTGGAATGGGGGATGCCCGGAAAGAAGGATGTGAGCCCGTGGGAAGCCCGTGCTGGAGCAGCCTCCGTGCAGGGCCCTGTGGATCCCTGGGCACAGGAGCCCATGCTGGAACAGCTTGGCTGGAAGGACCTGTGGGGACCCATGCTGGGACAGGGGAAGGATCCCAGCCTCTGTCCCAGAGCAGCAGCAGGAGGAACAAGGTGGGATGAACTGACCGTGACACCCATTGCCATCTCCCAGTGCTGCTGGAGGGAGGAGGGAGAGCCCGGCAAGGAGGGAGGGGTCAGGGAAGGTGTTTATAGGATCCATTTTACTTTTCATGATCCTGCTGTTATTTTGACAGGTAATCAATTCAGTTCCTATCCCCACCAGTACGTTTTGTCTGTGAGTGCAGTCCCTGGTCCGGCCGGCGATGCTGGGCCTGATGCACCCAGCACACGGACTGCCCTCCTGGCTGCCAGGGCACGGCTGACTCACATCCGCACGGGCATCGACCAGGATGGCCAGGCCCTTGCCCAGCTGCTCTCCAGCCTCTGCTTTCCCATCTATACACACAGGTAGGGTGCCTGGAAGAGGAGGAAGAAGAGGAGAAGAAGGGATTGTGAAAAATGCATGTATTTTATGATTGGCTTTTTCACAAATATTAAAATGAATATTATATGTGTTGTGTTAGAAAGTAATGTTGTATTAATTTTCTTAAGTACTGTGTTAAATATAGTTTTAGGTTATAAAAATTGTTCAAATAGAAACTATGCTATGTAAGATGCTTTGTTTAAAGGAAAGGACTTGCAGTGAGATGGCAGCCTCAGGACACCTAGATCTTTCAGAGAAAAAGAATTCATTGCCCTCTTATCAGAAGAAACGAACTTCTTCCCACCTCGAAGGCGCTATTAGGATTAGAGGGAAGACGTTGATGAAGACCAGACAGAATCCTGTGTTTGAATGGAATTTATGCATCATGTATGAAGTGTATGAATATGCAACAGGCTATTGTTCTTAAGCGTTAATCCTTTGTTAACGGGGGTCCTTTTTCGGCTCGTGATGCCCAGAAAAAGGTACCCGGACATCTGTAACTCTTTGCTTTTATTGTCTCATATTGTCCCAATTCAATTTGTCCAAATTGTTATTACTCTAATTGTGTTACTATTTTTATAACCATTTTATTAATATTAAACTTTAAAAAATTGTAAAAACAAGTGAGTGGCGTTTTTCACAGGATGACCAAGGAGAAGCAGGGGGAGGACGCAAGAAAGACGACAAGGAACAGCAAGAATTCAGCAGAAAAAGAAGCAGCCGGAGCAGGAGGAGGCGGGAAAGAGGAAGGGAAGAGGGGCAGGAAGAGGGGCAGGAAAAGGAGGAGCCACCAGCGCACAGCTCGCTGTAACTGTAGCCCCGCCGCCCTTGGAGCATCGCTCCTGCCCTCCGCATCCCGCAGGTGACGGGGGAGGGCGGCTCGTGGGGCTCCTGGTATAGTTTTTCTGGGAGGGGGATTTGGGATCTGCCGGGAATCCAGAGCTGAGCCGGAAATGCCCCTTGGGAGGACAGTGAGGGTGTCCGGGAGGGGGGATTTGTTTGGAGCGGTCCCGGCGGCGGGGCCGGGGCATGCCGCGTTCCCGGAGCCGCGGTGCGGGTTTGTGCTCGGGGCCGCCGCCTCCATGGCCAGCCCGCGGTGCGGGTTTGTGCTCGGGGCCGCCGCCTGCACTGCCAGCCCGCGGTGCGGGTTTGTGCTCGGGGCCGCCGCCTCCATGGCCAGCCCGCGGTGCGGGTTTGTGCTCGGGGCCGCCGCCTCCATGGCCAGCCCGCGGTGCGGGTTTGTGCTCGGGGCCGCCGCCTGCACTGCCAGCCCGCGGTGCGGGTTTGTGCTCGGGGCCGCCGCCTCCATGGCCAGCCCGCGGTGCGGGTTTGTGCTCGGGGCCGCCGCCTCCATGGCCAGCCCGCGGTGCGGGTTTGTGCTCGGGCCCGCCGCCTCCATGGCCAGCCCGCGGTGCGGGTTTGTGCTCGGAGCCCGCCGCCTCCGTGGCCAGCCCGCGGTGCGGGTTTGTGCTCGGGGCCGCCGCCTGCACTGCCAGCCCGCGGTGCGGGTTTGTGCTCGGGCCCGCCGCCTCCATGGCCAGCCCGCGGTGCGGGTTTGTGCTCGGGCCCGCCGCCTCCGTGGCCAGCCCTCCCTCATGGCCATGGCCCGGTGCTGGCGGGGATGGCCCTCCGGTTCTGGGGGCCCTTCCAAAGAGCCGAGGTGTGGGGAGGAGCCCCGGAGAGAGGCCGTGCTGGAGCTGCGGGATCCCCAGCCGCCCGGAGAGGCGTCGGGCACGGAGAGGGAGAAGCCTGGAGAGGGAAAACCCTCGGGAGCCAGAAACGGCGGACCGGAGAGGGGGGATAGGTTGGAGACGGCTCCCCAAGGAACGCCAAAGTGGGAAACCCAGGGTGGTGGGGAATTCGGGAACGCCCAGCATCTTGAAGGAGATAGTGAGAGGAGAAAATACCCACAGGGCTTCCAAAATCCTTGGTGTCCCTAAGCAGGGGGACCACGGCGGAGGGGGGGACACGACACACGGGACCCCCAGCAGCCCAGAGAAGAGCGAGCACCAGAGCCTCAAAGTGGGGAGGCCTCTGGGATTCTGGGGACCCTTGGCATCCTAGAATAAGGATCCCCAATACATGGAGGAACCCCAGCAGCCTGGAGAACGGGGACCATTGTGACACCAAAGTGGAGAGACCAGAGAGGGGGACCTGCTGGGAGATTTTTCTCTGGCAGAATCTTGATATTTTGAAGTTTTTGGGGGGTAGATCTTTTTGTTTTTATTGGGTTTTGGGCTAAATCTTGGCTGTTTGTAGTTTTTCGGGCTGAATTTTCTATTTTAGAGTGGGTTTCAGCTGAATCTTGGTGTTTGGAGGCCTATGTCTTAGTGTTTTAGGGACTTTTTTAGAGTCAAGATGCCCAGTGACTTCTAGAGATGGACTTGGGCAGGAGGAATCTCCAATCCAGCACACTCACATCTTGTTTTTTCTGCCAAAACCAGGACTTATCATTCCCTAACTTTGGCCAGATGGAGGAGGAGACTGCGAGGAAGAGGAAGATGCTCTGGGACACCCAGGCAGGTGAGGAGGAAATCATTGCCCCTTTCCCTCTCTCTTTTGCCTCGTCTCCCAGCCCAGCATTGGCCTTGGCTGCAGGACAACCCCAGCTGTCCTGCTGGATATGAATTTGGGGGGATGTCCTTCCCCTTCCCTCTGGCACAGAGGCAGATCTCCTTCCTCTCCGTCTTCCTTCTCCCTTCTCCTTGTTTCTCCCTCCCTTTTCTTCTGGTTTTTCCTTCCTCTCCTTGTTCCTTCTTCTTTCTTCTTTTCCTTGTTCCTTCTCTTTCCTGTCTTTCCTTCCTCCTTTTTCTTCGTGCTCCTTCCTCTTACTTCCTTTTCCTCATTTCTTCCTCTCCTTTCTCCTTCTTCCCCTTCTTTGTTCCCTCTTCTCCTTCCTCCTCCTTTTTCATTCCTCCCCTCCTTCCTTCTTCTGCCTTCCTCACTTCCTTCCTCTCCCTGTTCTGCTTTTTCTTCCTTCCTGTCTCTCCTTGATCCCTCCTCTCCTTGTTCCTTTGACTCACTCATTCCTTCTTCCTTCCTCTCCTTCTTCCCTCCTCCCCCAGGGAATGACCTGCACACAGAGGCCAGGGAAGACAAATCCCCATGTTGGAACCTCGTGGAAGAGGCTGTTTTAAGCAGCTCCACAGCACAGGAAGTCAGCAAGGAGGAAAAGCCCCGGAGATCCCCCACGAGGTGCAGCTTCAAACCCAGCCCGGGGAGCTCTGAGGAGGAAAGACCCACCCTGAGCCGGGAAGGCAGCCAGAACTTCAGCCAGAGCTCAGAGCTGGTGATCCATGAGCAGCTTCCTGACAGGGAGAAGCCCTACAAGTGCTTGGAGTGTGGGAAGAGCTTCAGCTGGAGCTCCCACCTGATCCGGCACCAGAGGATCCACACTGGGGAACGGCCCTACACATGTGGGGAGTGTGGGAAGAGCTTCAGCCAGAGCTCTGACCTGGTGGTCCACCAGCGCCTTCACACAGGGGAGCGCCCCTACAAGTGCTTGGAATGTGGAAAGAACTTCAGCAAGAGGTCCAGCCTCACATACCACCTGCGCTTCCACACTGGGGAGCGGCCACACATTTGCTTGGAATGTGGGAAGGGCTTTATCCAGAGCTCCCACCTCATCAGCCACCGCCGGCTGCACACCGGGGAACGGCCCTATAACTGCTTGGAGTGTGGGAAGAGCTTCAACCGCAGCTTCAGCCTCGTCATCCACCAGCGTGTCCACACTGGGGAGCGGCCCCACGAGTGCCACGAGTGTGGGAAGAGGTTTCAGAGCAGCTCCGATCTCCTCCTGCACCAGCGGATGCACGCGGGGGAGAGGCCCTTCCGCTGCTCTGACTGCAGGAAGGGCTTCATCCGCAGCTCTGACCTGGTCAAGCACTGGCGCGTCCACACTGGGGAACGGCCCTACACGTGTGGGGAATGTGGGAAGGGCTTCACCCAGAGCTCTGCTTTGGCCTCACACCAACGGACCCACTGGTAAGAGAAGCTCTACGAGCGCTCCAACTGCAGGAAGAGCATTGGAGGATCCGTGCTGAGCAGAGCATGGGGTGACGCATGTTCCTGGTGATCCACATTGGAAGGCATCTGGCTTGTGGTCTCCACATCCTTCGGGTTCCCCATGGGCACCTGGATGAGCAGAGGGGTAAGAACATCCACTGGGACACAGACTGATGGTGGAAATTCATTGGGAAGAGTGGATTTGTTGACTTTAGATGCCAAAAAATCTCATCTGCTCCATCCAATAATTTCTTCCTCTGGTATCAAGCAACACTGGATGATCTTTAGGGTCTTTTCCAACCTAAATAATTCCACGATTCTAATTCGCTCTGGCCCATGGGTGTCTTGCACAGCCAAATGGCGATGGACTGGGGCAAAGACCAAAATTTTGAACACAATAGGGTAGGGACCCCTCTTAAAAAGGCTCTTCCACCCACCCAAGCCAACTCCATGGACACTCACACAATGCTGACACGTAAATCTTTTTATTTTGGCCTTGATTTTCTTTTGATTCATAAACACCCAAGGTTGGGGTAAAAAAATTGAATAAAACCTCAGAACAGCCAACATTTACTGAAATTTTGGGGTTCTAGGGGATATTTGGAGAAATGTGGGAGAGTTTTCTCCATTGTTTTGCAGTCCAAATCCAAGAGGGATCAATCTGTTACATCAAAATTGCTCAGTCCTGCTGAAAATGGCTAAATCCCAACCTAAAATAGCTCAGTCCCACCCCTTAAGGCATGATTCCACCTCAAAATGTCTCAATTCCACCCCAAAAATCATGTGATCCCACAGCACCCTCAATACCTCCAGGAGGGGTGTGATGGGGATTGGGAGAGGTGGGATGTGAATTGGGAGGGTGGGAATGGGGTTTGGGGTGGAGTGGGATGTAGACTGGGAGAAGTGGGATGGGGTTTGGGAGGGGTGGGATGGGATGGAGGAAATAGGGCTTGGAAAGGGGATCTTCATATCTGGGAGGGACGGGATTGGGATTGGGATTCGTGGGATGCAGGTTAGGGGCTGGAATGAACTTTGGGAGGGCTAGGAAGGGATCTGGAATAAGATAGCGAAAGATAGGGGATGTTAAGGATGGGGGGACCATGTCCCCAAGGGTGTTTCAGGGTATCCCCCAAATCTGTGGAGATTTTGGGGTATCTGCCGTTCCTAAAGAGATCTTGAGATATTCTCCATTCCTGAGAGGATTTTTTGGGCACCCCCCTTCCTGAGCGAGTTTTTGGGGTACCCAGAATCCTGGGGGTGTTGGGAGAGGGGGGAGATGTGGCTCTGGCACTTGGAAAAGGGGCTCCACAGCTCCTCCACTTGGAACAGGCAGCCCATTTTGGGAGGACCATGTTGCATTTTGCTGGTTTTGAAGTATTATGAACGGCTTTTGGGAATATACTGCTTATTTTTGGGTGTTGAGGTGACTCCCCGCTATTCTTGGGAGCTGCGGTGATGCCCCCTCATTATGGGAGGATGAGGTGATCCTATTTTGGAGAGGATCTTGCTGTTTTCTGCCGATTTTCAGGGTTATAAATGGCTTGTGGAGGCCCCTTGCCCTCATTTTGGGAGGTTGGGGTGACCCCGTGGTTCCTCCGGTGGCTGAGGGGTTATAACCAGCTTGTGGGGTCCCCATATTGCAGGGCTCCCCCTGGAGCAGAGCGTGTCCCCCTCGCTGCAGCCCCGGCCCTGCGGCAGCGCTCAGCCCACAATGATCCCCCGTGCCAGGCGGCCCCGCTCGGCCCCAGCGCTGCCTGCCCGCAGCCCCCTCAGCCCCGCTCGGCCCCAGCGCTGCCCACCCGCAGCCCCAGCGCTGCCTGCCCGCAGCCCCCTCGGCCCCAGCGCTGCCTGCCCGCAGCCCCCTCAGCCCCGCTCGGCCCCAGCTCTGCCCACCCGCAGCCCCAGCGCTGCCCGCCCACAGCCCCCTCGGCCCCAGCTCTGCCCACCCGCAGCCCCAGCGCTGCCCACCCGCAGCCCCCTCAGCCCCAGCGCTGCCCGCCCATAGTCCCCTCGGCCCCAGCGCTGCCCACCCGCAGCCCCCTGGCCCCAGCGCCCCCCGACAGGGGAATTTGGGGCGGGGGGAGGTGGGGGCACCCAGGCTGGGCCCGTCCGCGCCGTCCCCGCAGGGCCCAGGCATGGCCGGTGCTCAGCGCGGGTCCGGGCCTGGTGCGCCCGGGGCCGCTTTGGAACCCCCCCGCTGCACAGGCGGCTGCGCTTGAGGCAGGCAGCACCACCCGGCACTGGGGATCGGACAGCTGGGGACAGCCGGGGACACCTGGGGACAGCCAGGGACACCTGGGGACAGCCGGGGCCCTGCTGGGGACAGCTGGGGACAGCCGGGGCCCTGCTGGGGACTTCTGGGGACACTGGTGGCACTGGGAGCACCCCCGGCTGTGGGCCCGGAGCGCTCAGGGAAAGGGGATGGGGGTGGAAGGGTGTGACTGTGTTCACAGGGGCCTTAGGATGAGGGAAGAGATGAGGATCTGACTCCATGTTTCAGAGGGCTTGACTTATTATTTTATGATATATATTGCATTAAAACTATATTAAAAGAATAGAAGAAAAGATTTCATCAGAAGGCTAGCTAAGAATAGAAAAAGAAAGAATGGTAACAAAGGCCTGTGGCTTGGACTCTCTGTCCAAGCCAGCTGACTGTGATTGGCCATCAATTAGAAACAACCAACATGGGCCAATCACAGATCCACCTGTTAATTCCACAGCAGATAACCATTGTTAACATTTTGTTCCTGAGGCCTCTCAGCTTCTCAGGAGGAAAAATCCTAAGGAAAGGGTTTTTCATAAAAGATGTCTGTGACAGAAGGGTGGGAAGCAGGGAGGGTGATGATGGGAAGCAGTAAGGAAAGGACAGGAAAAGGGTGGGGTAGGACCTCCCCACACCCAGAGCGGGGTATGGTGGGCTGGGAATCTGAGGGCGATGGGAAAGAGGTGGAAAGTTTGGTCTGGGACCCGTAAACGGAGTGGGAGGGATGTGGAATCCATGGAAGTCAGTGAAAGGGGCACATCAAACCCCCAAGTTTAGTGGAGGAGGTGGCAGCCCCGAACCAAGTGGGGACAGGGTGGGGGGGTGGGAACACCCTGAAGCTAAGCTGCAGGGTGAGCTGGGGATTGAAGGGACAATGGGAAATGAATGGGAGAATGAGGAAAATTGGGGGTGGGACAGTGGGCAGGGACATACCGTGGGAGTCCTGTACCCGGATGCTCTGCCTGAATGGGGTCAAACAACTCCAACAATGCTCTGTTTGCAAACATGCCAGCGGTAAATGAAGAAGGAGGTTTCCGCTGGTTTTGGCGTTAAATGACAGTGAGATAAGATACAGGAGATCTGTTAAAATACCGGGATAAAGGAACAACCAAGTGATAACTTATCCAAAGCTGCTGAGCTGGCACAGACTGACAGTGCAGGCCTTCAGGCTGTAACAGCCCCATCCCACATTTTAACTGCAGAGTCTCCTGACGTATCCAGTTCGCAGGGGGAGAGGGATGTGGAGATTCTTTTGTGGAATAAGGATACCCCTCAAGGACTGGAGCTCCCAGTGCTGTGTGAGGCAGGGAGTGCCAGTGCCTGTTTGGAGCTGGGGATTGTGCACGGGGTGGGGCTGGATGACAAGAAAATGTCACGGAAACATTTCAGAAGCAACTGAAATCTTTAACTCTGTAATTTCACTATTAGAAAGCAGATTTATTTCAGTGCTAGGTGTGTGCAGGTATGACTCCCGTATCACACACACTCAGCTACCTCTCACATTTGTTTGTATTGATATAACTAATATATATTAATAAATTTCCCAAACTCATACATATATGCTAAACATTCCCCTCAAATTCTTTTACATATTTAAATCAATTCTTGGAACTCATTTACATTAGAGTTGGGGGTCATTTAAGGGTCTCTGGTGGTCACTTGGGGAACATCCCAGTCCTCAAATTATGCCTGTTCATCACAGGCTTCAAAAAACCAGCTGCTTCTTGAATGCATCCCAGCTCTGCATATGGATGGGTCATCAGGTCTCTGCACAATGTGGGTCACTGTGGATCATCCAGTGTGTGTCCTCCAGTGGGTGAAGAAATTGGACCAATAACCAAAGCTCTTCCCCCCTCCTCCCCCTGGGGCACTCACAAGGGCTTCCTTTGCTGATGGGCGCAGTGTGAGGTCAAGGCAGAGCTGCAGAAGCTCCTCACATACTCCCAGCACTCACAGGGTTTCACCCAGCTCTGAATGTCTTGGTGGCTGATGAGATTGGAGATATAATTGAAGCTCTTCCTACAGCTGGCACAGGGGAAGGGCCTCTGCTCTGTGTGCATCCCCTGTGCATCATGCCTGATGAGATTTGAGCCATTCTGAAACCTCTTCCCACACTAGGGACACCTGTAAGGCTGTTCCCCAGCATGGATCTTCTGGTGGCAGATCAGGTAGTGGGTGATGCTACGGCTCTTCCTGTAAGAGCCTGAATGAGAGATGTGGGACTCCAGGCAGTCTCCAAAATGCAGTTTATTGTATACAAAATGCAGCTTATTCCATCCAAAAGGTTACAGCAGCCCAGGGTTGTGGGTGACAGAGCTGTGCCTACAGCTGTGAGCTCCAGCTGCAGGCAGGCCTGGAGACCCTTTGGTTTTGGTTACATTGCATTAGATACTTTTCTTTGCTGAGCATCTTCATACAATAGAACCAATCTATACCTTAACTATTACCCATAGCCTATCATAACCACTATAATTACCATATTCATGTTACTATTCTCCAATCACTAAAAGTTAGTACATTACAGTTTAAGCTAGAAGTTATTTTTCAGTTTTCTTGCAGTGGAAAATTCTGAGACCTTTTTTCTACTTGCAACTTTGCTGACTTGTTTGCCTGTGCTATCTTTCTGCTTGGTAAAAACATCTTGTTTGAGGTGGGTTCATCCTTTGCTCTAAGCCATAAAAACCCTTTCTAACTAACACACCCTTTGTCT